ATCGATTTTACAACTAAGTTTGAGGCTGTATTAGAGTATCTAACTTCTACTGTTCTGTAAGAAAAAAAAAGGCCGTGCGTGTGTGCATGTGTGCGTGTGTGCATGTGTGTGTATGTGCGTGTGAGATGAGGTCTCCTTGCCTGGGGCATATTCAAGCAGGGACTGTCAGGGATGCAGTAGCGGGTTGGTTCATGGCTCACCCTTCACTGAGTGGGAGAGGACACCATGGATCACCCAGCTCCCAGAGCAGAACAGCTGACCTCTTTTGCCAGAATCCTAGAAGGTGTTCAAGGGTTCCTTTTACTACATCTGCATGGAAAACTCTTCTGGGTTCTGACCATGTTTCCCTGTGACAAAGAGGGGTCGTCTAGTCGCTCTCCACAGCCAAACAGAGCAGATGGTGAGGACGGGAGGGACCTTTAAGGCTCCTCACCAAGACAGTGCAGGGACTTTTCTCTGCAGCATATAGGATCCAGTACAAACCCCACAGTCCAGCTTTTGTTTATGGCTAACACCCCCTTCCCCACTGCCCTACCATGTGAACATGACCCAACCATGCATTTACCTACTCTATGCTTTTCTTAGTTTCAGTCCCTGTGCCTGGAATTCCCTTTCACCTGTTATCTGCACAGAGAACTCCTACTGATCCTTTAAAACTCCTTTTAAAAGTAAATAAACACTTCTTTGTCCACATTTTTCCCTAAGGCCCAGCATATGGAAATGTCTCCATCACAGCTCTTTACATTGCATAGTGGCTGCTCAGTCATGGGTCTGGGACTGGATATGATTTATTTCTGTGTCTCCAGGTCCTAGAATAGTGCTGGGCACACAGCAGCCACTCAATGCATGCCTCATATATGGAGTCCAATGGCAGAGCCTCTCCTCCTGTTCAGAGTCCAGCCTCTCAAGCCTGGTGAAACCATGTGTTCAATGTCCTATAATAACAAACCCACATGCAGATTTTCTGAGTGCACAGTAAGTGGCACATACTGTGTTCATGTGAACATAGCCAACTGTTTCAGAACCACCCTGGTGGGGCAGTGCTGCTACTAACCACCATCTGCAGAAAAGGAAATCAGGTTCAGGGATTTGAGTCTGCTATCAACTGAATATTTGTGTTAACTCCAAAATCCATATGCTGAAATCCTTACACTCAGTGTGATGGTTTCAGGAGGTGGGGCCTTAGAAAGGTGATAAGGTCATGAGGTGGGAGCTTTTATGAATGGGGCTGGTGCCCTTATCATAGAGACCCCAGAGAGCTGGTTCCACCGTGTGATACTGCAGGGCTGTTGGATGATTACACAACAACAGTGAACAGTTAGTAGCGTTTATTGAGCCCTTACTCTGTTCTGCATTTTACATGTCTTATCTCTCTCAATTATTACCACAGTCGTCTGAGGTGAATGATCCTGAAATGACCATTTACAGATGCAAAGGGGCACAGCTTAGTGGTTAAGGACACACAAGGTGAAGCTGGGCGGCCTGGGTGCACAGCCGGTTCCATCAGCTGTGTTAGTTTAGGGAGTCACTTCAGTATCTTTCAGCCCCAGTTTCCTCATTCTTACAATGAAAAAAAAAAGATGAGTATACTTAAAGGACTTAAACAGGTTCAGTTATATACATTGGCAAATGTTGGCGGTGACCACCATTCCTGCTCTAGGCTGCCTGTCCATCTCTGGCACATAGTAGGGCTGCAGTGAGGTGAGTGTCTCTAATCACTGGGGGCTCTTTCTCCTGAGTGTCCAGGACCCTGCCGGGTTTATCAAACTCTGGCCTTGCCTGTGACCCTGATGTGGATGGACCTGCAGCAGGTGAAGTTTCTCCCCACAGAGGGGAGGAGATTCTGGGGGTGTGCACCCCACCCTACTGAGAGCTCGAAGACCAGTCACCTGAATTCCTTGGCTGATTGGGCTGGAATTGGTAGTAGGAGGAGCAAGACGGAGGTTTGGGGTCTCCCCAACATCGTACCAGTGTCAGGAGTGCACTCTTTCCCCCACCCTCCTGCTCAGCAGCTCCGCAAGGATCCATATAATAGAAGCCCTCACCTGAGACCACCCCACGGGGCAAAACTGAAAGGATCTAGGAAGAACCAGGAGGGGAGCACTAGATCTGATGTGTGGAGCATCCTGGGTATGGGAGGAGGAGCCAGGTGGTGAGACAAGGGTCTCAAGATATTCCACTGCTGGGGCCATCATGTTGCTTCAGATTCCACCATTATAAAGGTCCCCACATTAATAAGGCATTGTCCCAACTGAATGGGGGTGGAGCAGTGAGGCAGAGGACAAGAGCTTGGGTTTGGGGATCTGACAGACCAGGGTTCCTTTGAGCACTCCAACTTGGGCTACAAGTTTGCCCTCTCTGAGCCTCAGTTTGCCCTTCTGTTAAATGGGCATCTTCCTTCTTCTGTGTGCTGTCACATGGGGCTCTGAACCAAAGAGTTGAGGGGAGGGGACGGGAAGGGGGAAGCCATGTGCATTGTGTTGGAGGAGATCATCTGACACAAAGCAGGTGCACTTTATGTGGATTCCCTGGCACAGAGTAGGCACTCTTTATGTAGAACACCCAGCACACAGTACACAGTAGTATTTGTGTAGAGTACTTGGCATGAAGTAGGTGCAGTTTACATGGGTCAGCAAGCACAGAGTAGACATGCTGTACATAGAGCATCAGACAAACAGAAGGCATGCATTCTATAGAGCGCCTGGCACAGAGTAGGTATGTTTTATGTGAGGTACTCTGCAAAAGTTCACTTTATGTAGAGCACTAGGCATACAGTAGACAGGATTTATATAGAGTATCTGACACTTTATGGAGAGTACCTGGTACGGAGTAGATATGCTTTATACAGTTGCCCTGCACACAGCAGGTGTGCTTTATACAGAGTACCCAACACATAGTTGAAGTACTGGACATAGTCTTTTGCACAGAGTACAGTCCTCGCACACAGCAGTGCAAGTACGAGTGACCAGCCCCGTCCTTTCACTCCTTGTTTTGGGGGCTCCCTCCTCTGTTCCCCCTAAGGCCCTCATCCAACATCCCATATCCCACATGGGAAGCCTGAGCCCAGGAGGGCTGGCACTGCCCATAGTCACAGCACGGATGGGGCAAAAGGAGGTCTCCACTCAGGGTCACCTGGCTCTTCCCTCTCCTGCCTGGGCCCTGTCTGCTCATAGCCCCTCTCCCACTTACCCCCCACGCCTCCCCTCTGTCCTGTAAACTCTGATGCTGAACCCATCCTCCAGGTTTGCTCTTCCAACTGGCCTTTGTATTCCCAGAATCTGAACTGAGCAATCATTTGAGAGGCTGGGTTATTGTCCCTACTCCTGGCAAAAATGTTTCCAACAGGGCCCTGCACTGCCCTAAGGCAGAACTTGAACTCTTGCCAGTCTGTGCGTCTGGAGTCAGTGGCTTCCTTCTCCCAGCCTCCTAATTCTGCACCAAGAAATGGTGCACGACATCCTCCCGGCACATGCACGGAGACGAGCTCAGGAGATGTTCTGGGGAGTAGATATGCTTTATACAGTTGCCCCGCACACAGCAGGTGTGCTTTATACAGAGTACCCAACACATAGTTGAAGTACTGGACATAGTCTTTTGCACAGAGTACAGTCCTCGCACACAGCAGTGCAAGTACGAGTGACCAGCCCCGTCCTTTCACTCCTTGTTTTGGGGGCTCCCTCCTCTGTTCCCCCTAAGGCCCTCATCCAACATCCCATATCCCACATGGGAAGCCTGAGCCCAGGAGGGCTGGCACTGCCCATAGTCACAGCACGGATGGGGCAAAAGGAGGTCTCCACTCAGGGTCACCTGGCTCTTCCCTCTCCTGCCTGGGCCCTGTCTGCTCATAGCCCCTCTCCCACTTACCCCCCACGCCTCCCCTCTGTCCTGTAAACTCTGATGCTGAACCCATCCTCCAGGTTTGCTCTTCCAACTGGCCTTTGTATTCCCAGAATCTGAACTGAGCAATCATTTGAGAGGCTGGGTTCTTTGTCCCCACCCCTGGCAACCATGTCTCCAACAGGGCCCTGCACTGTCCTGAGGCAGGACTTGAATTCCTGTCAGTCTGTGCGTCTGGAGTCAGTGGCTTCCTTCTCCCAGCCTCCTAATTCTGCACCGAGAAATGGTGCACGACATCCTCCCGGCACATGCACGGAGACGAGCTCAGGAGATGTTCTGGGACAAGTCATGGCCTGGCCCTGCCCACCTGACATCTGAACTTTCAAGTTCTTGGTTTTACCTGCTGCACCCTGGCCTTGGAAGGGCAGGGGCCGTTGTAATCTTTGGGGCTTAGATTCACCTTTGACCAACTTTCCTCCTGCCCCACAGGGGAGGTGCTAAGTCCTGACAGTTCAGTGCTCAAGCTGTGTCACCCTGAGTTTGTTCCTCTGTACCCAGCTGGTCCCGCCCCATGCTTTGGCCGACTGCCCAGGCAGGGATCAGGCAGCCAGGACTTTGGGTATTGGCTGGCACAGCCCAGCCAGCCCACCCCAACCTGCCGCAGCCTTCCCTAGATCAGAGGACAGAGGTGAGCCTCCCAGGACAGAGAGAGGAGGTTGTGTAAGGAGCTGCTCCTGACAGGTGCCAGGCTGGGGGAAGTGGGACTGGGAAGTCCTGGCCCGGGATGGGGAATGAGCACTGCCCTAAGCTGGGATGGTCACAGGGAGTGAGCGAGCCCAGGAGACTGGTGATTTCTGGGTAACTAAGCTTCTGGCAACCTCCCAGTGATTCAGGCTGGGCCTTTCTGAACTCTAATCAGCCTCTCCCTGCCCCTCTCTCTCTCTCTCTCTCTCTCTCTCTCTCTCCACCGCTCCCAGCTCACTCTGCCTTCTCCCCTGGATCTCCCGGGGTCTCCCTCCCCGTTCTCAGCCCTGTTGACCTGACTCTGAGCCCTCCCTGCCCTGCCCCCAGCACCCACCTTCCCTGCCCCTCTCCACTGTCCCTAGAGCTCCTGTGGCCCTGCCTTGGGTCAGGTCCTCACCTCTGTCCCATCTGCCTGCAGGATGCCACAGCTGAGCCTGTCCTGGCTGGGTCTGGGGCCAGTGTCAGCCTCCCCATGGCTGCTTCTGCTGCTGGTTGGAGCCACCTGGCTCCTGGCTCGTGTCCTGTCCTGGACCTACACCTTCTATGACAACTCTCGCCGCCTCCAATGTTTCCCTCAGCCTCCAAAACTGAACTGGTTTTGGGGTCACCTGGGTTTGGTGAGTGTCACAGATGGACAGGTCTGGGGTGTCAGGGTGCTTGGCCTTCCCACAGGACCAGAAATGGGGCTCAGGAGTCTGGGAGTCAGGGGTGGTCTGGGGTCTGGCAGCACAGAAGGAAGGGAGGTGGCTCACTCTGACCTCTGCGGTGCCATCCCAAGTCTTCTCACCAGCTGTCCCCTCCCCAGCCTCCTCTGGATCCATTTACTTCTTTTCTTCCCTACATTAGTTCACCTCAGAGAACTCATGGGGTGGGCTGCACAGAGCAGGGAGCCCTGGTGTTCCCACATTCTCCACTGCTGGACTTGAGGCCTTCTATGGGGCAGTGTCCTGGATACGCCCCCTGCCCAACCCATTTCCTTGTATCTTCCCAGCTTGGGCTGCCGTATTCCCTCAGAAATTAGCTATGACCACACACATACATGGGCACAGCTGGGCCGTAATGGAGCTGCGGCCAGTCTTCCATCCCCTCCCCTTTATAGGGCACCTTCCTCTTATCTTGCTCTTCCTCTCTAAGATGTACCAATGTGCCTATTGCCCAACCTGATAAAAGGTGTCCACTCACTTCCCCTTCCAGGAGATGTTTATGACTCCCTCTCCTCCAGACTTTGACCTATGATGTTAACCTGCTGTCATTTGTGAAAGGCAGGACTGATAAGAGTGTGCACACGATCAGGGAGAGTGTGCACAGGATGCCCTATGCCCAGAACCAGGTGTGCAGAAGGTGCCACTGGTGGGAGCCATGTCCTGATGGAGAGTCAGAGCTCACCTATGCTCCCCAGGTTCTGCGGAGGCTGGAAAGTCTCTGGTGTGCAGACCTTTCCCACGGGAGGTACTGGAGGTCATTTGGGCCATACAGGATATGACAGGATGTGTGCATCAGCCTCAGGGACAAGCCCTGAGATGACACTGCTACCCACAGTCCCCCTCTGTAGCTGCCCCCAGGCTGGAACTACTCAGGCATGAGCAGAGAAAATCCCTTCTCTCGAGACAAGATGGGCCTCTCTGCAGGCAGACAGTGTGTCTTCTCCTTCTGCCCTGGGGTTGCACCCTTGATACTTAGTGATGGCCCCAGGAGGGAAGGAGCAGTAGGAAGCAGACATTCCCTCCATCTGTGCAGAATCCAGACACGAGTTCACTGCAGAGGCTGCACCAAATATAGAGGATCCGGGGGTCACTCTTTGTCCTCGTTCTGAGGAGGTGTGCTAGTCAGAATGCAGGTGCGTCATCATATATGTGTGTGTGTGTGTGTGTGGGCGTGTGTGTGTGTGTGTGTGTGTGTATGATGATACTTCAATAAGTTCACAGAAAAGTAGAATTGAAACGTAATAGGAATCTTTCCTTGAACTTTTTGAAGAGTTCATTGTGTGTGTGTGTGTGTGTGTGTGTGTGTGTGTGTGTACGTACGTACGTGCACAGGCAAGTGTACAGAGAGAGATAGAAGATGGGATTGTTTTTGAGAATTGGTTCACATGATTATGGAGGCTGAGAAGTCCCACGCCATGCTGACAACCAGAGAAGCTGGTGATATGTCTCATTGTGAGTCGTAAAGACTGAGAACCTGGGGCTGCTGATATAAATCCTGGAGTCCAGATGCTCCAGAACCTGGAGTTCTGATGTCTGACAGTAGTAGGAGATGGATGTCTCAGCTCCAGAAGAGAGAGAAAATTCTCCCTTTCTCTGCCGTTTTTTTTCTACCTGGATCCTAAAGGAATTGGATGATGCCCAACTCCACTGGGCAGGGTGGATCTTCCTAACCCAGTCTATGGATTCAAATGCTGCCCTCTGCTGCAAACACCCCCACAGACACAGACAGAAATAAGGTTTCACAGTCACCTGTGCATCCCATAGCCCAGTCAAGTTGTCACCTTCAATGAACCATCACAGGAGGTGACCATCTTGTCTTGCTTTCAGGTCACCCCCACAGAGCAGGGCATGAGAGACTTGACTCAGCTGGTTTCCACCTACCCTCAGGGGTTTATGGGCTGGATGGGCCCCATATTCCCCATCGTCAGTTTATGCCACCCTGACATCATCCGGTCTGTCATCAATGCCTCAGGTATCCATTGGAGCTTGTGGTGGTGGGTGCCGTGGCTCACCCGATGGCTTCCACCCCCAAGATTCTGTGCAGTCCCTGCAGGACCCTGGTCTCTCCTTCCCTCTCTTCTCTCAGCCATCTTCCTCTTTCTTGCATGTATTCTCCAGTCCCCATCTCAGTGTCTCATCCCTGTATCTCCCTCTGTCTCCTGGCCCTGGTGTTATGGGCACAACTGAGGTACCAAAACACTCAGGCTAAGAACCCGTACAGGAAAAATGCTGATATTGAGGATATGAAACTGGACAGACATCCCCAATGTCCTGTGGTCAGAAATGGGTCAGAGTAAGATGGACTGCAACAGCTAAGAGCAGAAACAGTGTTTCTGATGGGGCAGGCTGGAAGGCTTCCTGGAGGAGGGGTTGCTGGAGCTGGGTTGGAAGCATGAGTAGAAATTTTCAAAGCAGAGGGCAGGGGATGCAGGGGCATTGGAAGCATTTGAGGTCCCCCACCATGCCTGGCATGAGCCTTATCCATTCCCAGACCCTGAGCAATGAGGAGGGCTTGGAGCTGGTGGGTGATCTGGGCTGCTAGTTCCATGATGTCCACCTCTGGTGGGTCAGTTCCTTTTACCCCGTTCTTTAGCTTGTCCACTGTATGTTCATTGCTGCTCCAGGCCCCAGAATCTTCAATAGAAGACCACAACCCAGCCTCATGCCCTTACTCTCGACTCTTCCACTTCCCATCCTTGGAAGTGCCAGGGGAAGGAACAATGTCCCAAAGAGATCATGGCTTTTACACCAAACTGATGGATGACACTGGGCAGGTCCCTAGCTCTCTCTGACTGCTGAGGTCCCCTTCAGTTGTAAGAGGTGGAAGCTCAATCACATGTGGTCTAAGCAAACAAAAGGCATAGATTGATTGTGGCCTTCAGGCACGGCTGGACCCAGCTCCCCAACAATGTCATTAGGAACCTGTATCTTCCCCTTTGAACTATTCTCTCTGTTGTTTTTCCTCCAAGGAAGCCCTTTCCTCATGGTATCCAATGATGATTTCCAAAAGCTCAGTTCCCATAGGAAAGCTCACCTTTCCCGCAGAGTTCTCATTAATGTCCTATGATTCAGTTGAATTATCTTAGCCTGGGTCAAAGGACCGATTCTTCAACCAATGCCAGTGACTCTGATTGCTCAGTCTTGGCAGACATGGATATTCTAGAGCTATTGTGTTAAGGAAACAAAACAAGTCAGTGGTTAGGGACTCAGGTTCTACCTTCAGACAGACCTGCGCTCATATCTCAGGCACGCCACTTACTCTCTGACAGACCATGGGTATCTCATTGTTCAGAGCCTCAGTTTCTTTATCTGAAAAATTGATGAAGGAGAACCTATGTGAATGTGGTGGATCTAAATGGACAAAGACCTTCCTGTCCTTTCCTGAGGGACCTGAACAGTCATGTGTCAAGGACATGCAGGGAGAGCCCAGGAGGAGGCTCAACACGGGGCCTAGGTCTGGGTCTCAGCCTTGCAGGTCCTTCTCTCAGCCATCCTAGAAGAGCATGAATTGGGACCTCTTTGCTATCCAGATTTGGAGCTGGGAAGAGGGTCTACTGTACACACAGGGCCTGGTGAGCACCTTTGAGGTGTGTACTGCTGGTGGGTGGGGCCCTGGCATGTATTCTTCCACATCTTCCACCCCACGTACATCAAGCCCATGCTCTTTGCTCCAGGTAGACACTGCACTGCCACAGGATGCCCACACCTGAAGTCTCTGGGCTGCGTGCAGCTGGTCAGGTGACCCGAATGCTGATGTGGGGGCTGTGGTGGAGATGTCACAGCCTCTGCCTCACCTGGTCTCCCACTTGTCTGACCTCTGCTTATCTCTACCAATGTCCGAATGTGTCCATGTGACACCTGCTGTGCGGCCACATCTTGTCACATCTGTACCTACACCTGTGTCTTCATTACACCTGCCGCATGTTACACCTGGTTACACCTGGGTTACTCCTGGGATCACATGGAGATGGTCAAGTGTGGGGCATGCTGAGGCCAAAGGCATATAGGGCTTGTCAGGGTCTCTCTGGTTCTTGCGTGAGGTGCTGTTTGAGATTGCCTCGTTCTGCACCTTTTCTCCTCTGGGCCGTGTTTGGGCTCGTCTGAGATCTGAGACTCAGAATTTCTTTGTGAATTGTCTGGGACATTACTTGAGTTTTTCTGAGGCAGGTCTTTAGGTATGTTTTGGTCACACCTAAGGGCCAGTCTAAATCACACCTGAACCACATCTGAAACCTTGAAGGGTTCATATTTTAATCTCATGCGGAGCCCATCTGTAGGCAGGTTGAGGACATGGCTCGCCATCTTGGGTTCATGTCAGAGCATGTTGTGTCATTGCAGGGCTTGTCACAAATGTTGTGGCCATGTCAGGACATGTTAACATGTGTTTGTCCATATCACATGTCCCAGGTCCATGTCAGGTGGTGTCAGAGTACTGAGGCAGGCAGCATGTCCTAGGTCCCTGTAAAGGCATTTTGTAAACTCCTGTGCTGTACTTGGGTACTGTTGAATGTGGTGAACCATGTAGGAGCCATGTCAAGACATGGTGGGGTGTGTCATGCCATGTCAGGGTGCTCCTGTGCTCTACTCTGCTGCTGCAGCCTGGTCTGGTTCCCCCTAATCCCCACCCTCCTCCCTGCTCACTCTGCCCTCGGTTCCCTCCGTGCTATGCTGGGCTTGGAGTGGGATTGTGCAAATCTCTGGCTCGGAGCCTCCACCCAACAACTAAAGTCCCTCCCTTCCCCCTCTCCATGGCCCTTGATCGTCCTCTTTCATGTCAGCTGCCATTGCACCCAAGGATATGACTTTCTACGGGTTCCTGAAACCATGGCTTGGTGAGTAACTGCATGTGAAGGGGTTTGGGGACAACCTTGGGGGACCAGGGGAAGGTGATGCCTTTGCTCACTGCCCATGGCTGCCCCCCTAGGGGATGGGCTGCTGCTGAGTGCCGGTGACAAGTGGAGCCGCCACCGCCGCCTGCTGACACCCGCCTTCCACTTCAACATCCTGAAGCCCTATGTGAAAATTTTCAACCACAGTGTGAATGTCATGCACGTGAGTCACATGAACCCAGGGTCCCAGCTGGAGCCTTGGGAAGGGGGAGGAGCCTCAGATGGGTTAGTCTGGAATTATGGCTCTGCTGAGTGACTTTAGGGTCATTTTCCTTCCTTTCCAAGCCTTGGTTTCTCATCTGAAAAATGGGGATAATAATCCCGACTTAAAGAGCAGTCAAGACACTGTAATGTATTCATGTCCAGGGCACGTAGCAGGTGCACAGAAGCTGTCAGTTTCTAGCTTTGCCTCTCCAAATCCCTGGCATCTTGCAACCCTGTTGATGATAATGATGAAGATTGCATAGTAGCTATTACTGAAAAACAAACTACTCCACAAACCACTAAAACAAACTACTCCAGTAGCTATTACTGAAAAACAAACTACTCCACAAACCACTGGTTTAAAGGGTTAAGGGTTTATGATTGTCAACACGTCCATGGGGTCGGTGGCTGGTTCTTCTGGTCCTGGATGGGGTCACTCATGGTATATGATCAGCCGTGTGTCAGGTTGGCAGCTTTGCTGATCCTGGCTCAGGTCTCTCACATGTTTGGGGCTTGTCCGGTTTCAGTCTAATCAGGAATGGCATCAGCTGGGACAAGTGAATTTGTCTCCCTGTGATTGTCTTTTTCCAGAAGGCATCCGGGCATGTTCACATGGCAGAGACAGGGTCCCAGGGAGCGAGAGGAGCCTGCAGTGCCTCTGGGGTCTTAGGTTTATTAGAGTTACTACCTCATCTTTCAAACCACATTGTGTTGGCCAAAGAAACTCAGAAGTCCAGCAGAGAATCAAAGGGGATAAAACAGGCTCCATCTCTTAATGAATGTTGCTCACAAATCACATTGGCATGAATGTGGAAACTGGGAGAGGTGAAGAACTCACAGTAAGGGTTTTGTAACGTGCCCAGGATTCTTTCTTACTTGCAAGCTGAAAGTTTTTTCATGGAGTCTGTCAGAAGACATGAAACCCTTGGGTGACAAAGAGCAGTTCATAACCCACAGCGTGGCAAGCATCCTG